CTCATTCTCAGTCTTTCTCATTCTCTCTCTCTCATTCTCTCTCTCTCTCTCTCTCTCTCTCTCTCTCTCTCTCTCTCTCTCTCTCTCTCTCTCTCTCTCTCTCTCTCTCTCTCTCTCTCTCTTTCTCTCTCCTCTCTTCTTTCCCATGCTTCTTTCTTTTCTCTTCTTTTCTTTCCTCTCCTCTGTTCTGCTCTCCTGTCATCTTCCCACTTCCTCCTACTTCCCTCCTTCCCTCACTCATTACCTCCCTTCCCGTTTTTCTCCCTCATTCCCTCCTTCCCTCCCTCTTTTTCTCCCTCCCTCCCTCCCTCATTCCCTTCTTCCCTCCCTCCTTTTCTCTCTCCCTCCCTCCCTCCCTTATTCCCTTCTTCTCTTCCCCCTTTTCTCCCTCCCTCCCTCCCTCATTCCCTCCCTCCCTCCCTCCCTCTTTTTCTCCCTCCCCCCCTCCCTTTTTCCCAAGACGAGTTAGGAAAGGATAATGACACGTGGCGAGCTGACGTTGAGGGCAGATTTAAGGTCTGGAAAGGAGAGGGAGGGAAGGAGGGAAGGAGAAGGAGAGGGAAGGAGGGAGGAAGGAGGGAAGGAGGGAAGGAGAAGGAGAGGGAAGGAGGAAAAGAGAAGGAGAGGGAGGGAAGGAGGGAGGGAGGGAGAGAGAGAGAGAGAGGGAGGGAAGGAGGGAGGGAGAGAGAGAGAGAGAGAGAGAGAGAGAGAGAGAGGATGAGAGAGAGAGAGAGAGGAGAGAGAGAGGACGAGAGAGAGAGAGAGAGAGAGAGAGAGGGAGGAAGGAGAAGGAGAGGGAAGGAGGGAGGAAGGAGAAGGAGGGGGGAGGGAGAGGGAAGGAGAAAATCAGAAGAAAAGGAGGAGGAAGAGGGAGAGGGAGCATAAATTGAGAGGAGGAGGAGGAGACAGGAGGTGTAGAAGAAGAAACAGAAGAGGCGGAGGAGGAAGAGGAGATGAGAGAGGAGGAGGAGGAGGAGGAGGAGGAGGAGGAGGGGGAGGATGAGCAGCAGGAGGAGGAGGAGGAGGAGGAGGAGCAGAAGGAGGGGGGAAGAGGAGGAGGAGGGGGAAGAGGAAGAGGAGGGGGAGGATGAGCAGCAGGGGAGGAGGAGGAGGAGGAGGAGGGGAAGAGGAGGAGGAAGAGGAGGGGGAGGATGAGCAGCAGGAGGAGGAGGAGGAGGAGGAGGGGGAAGAGGAGGAGGAAGAGGAGGGGGAGGATGAGCAGCAGGAGGAGGAGGAGGAGGAGCAGGAGGAGGGGGAGAGGAGGAGGAAGAGGAGGAGGAGGAGGAAGAGGAAGAGGAGGGGGAGGATGAGCAGCAGGAGGAGGAGGAGGAGGATGAGCAGGAGGAGGAGAAGGAGGAGGAGGAGGGGGAGGATGAGCAGCAGGAGGAGGAGGAGTAGGATGAGCAGGAGGAGGAGAAGGAGGAGGAGGAGGAGAAGGAGGAGGAGGAGGAGGAGAAGGAGGAGAAGGAGGAGGAGGAGGAGGCTCTTTTTAATATATGAGTGTCCACAAAAAGAAATAAAAAAGTGCCGTCTCTCATGTCTGGCTTCTTAACCCTTGAATTATTTCCAAGGGAGAAGGGGAGCTATGAATGAAAGAGGGAATGGGAGAGGGGGAGAGAGGGAACAGGGAGGAAGATGGAAGAGGAAGAGAGGGAGAAGGACTAAGGGAAGGTTAAATACGGCGAAAGGGGGAAAGAAAAGAAAAGAGAGATGGAGAGGGAGAGACAGAGACAGAGACAAACAGACAGACAGACAGACAGAATGATGGAGACAGTGAAAGAGAGAGAGAAAGAGAGAGAGAGAGAGAAGGAGAGATGAAAAAACAATGAAACGAAAAGGTCACTCAGATACCCAGACAAAAACAACCAAAAAATTACATAATCACACAATAAAGAACCCCCCCCCCCAAAAAAAAAAAAAAAAAAAAAAAAAGCAAAGTAAACAAACACACCAAAAAAAAAAAAAAAAAAAAAATAGAACGAATCAAACCCAATAATTGCAACCCAAGCAACGGCGTTCGCAACCGAGCCAAGTCCCGCCGCGACGAAGACAAAGGATCTCGAAAGCCAAGCCAAGCCGTTCGGGCGGACGAGGAGAGAAGATCCGTGACTTGCTCTCCTGCAAGCCTCCTCGAGCCGCCTGGCAATCTTGCAAGATTTTTCGCGTTGCGTTTTTTTTTGGTCGTTTGGTTATTTCTTGTTTTTTTGTGGCTTCGTTACTGTGGTTATAATTGTTATTGTTATAGTTTTTTTTAGCATCATTACGTTATTGTCATTGTTGTTGTTGTTATTGTTATTATCATAGTGTCATTATTATCGTTATTATTTTTATTTTCATCTGTCTGCGCGTGCGTAAGACTACATTTGTAAAATGAAGGAAATAAGAAATATATATGAATAGCTAATAGGGAAAAGGAAGATAAGAGCTTATTACGCCATTTTTTCCCTTCGTTACTTTCCCTTCTTTTATAATCTATCGATCGATCTATCTGGTCACCGCTCGCAGTCGCCAAGAAATAATGGAAAATACATAAATCTACCGCAGGCGACGCGGCGGGCGGCGGGCGGCGGGCGGCTCGGCGCTCGGGCCCGGAGCCATAAGCGCTTCGCAGGATTGTTATTATTATTATCATTGTTGTTATTATTATTATTATTATTATTATTGTTATTATTATTATTATTAATATCATTGTTGTTGTTGCTATTATTATTATTATTATTATTATTATTATTATTATTATTATCATTGTTGTTGTTGTTATTATTATTATTGTTGTTGTTGTCGTTGTTGTTGTTATTATTATTATGTTGTTATTATTATTATTGTTAACATTATCTTTATCCCTTCTTCTTCTTCTTCTGTTTTTTCTTCTTCTTTTTTTATTCCTTTTGTTCTGCTTCCTCTTCTTCTTTATCTCTTTCTCTCTTCTTCTTCGTCTTCTCATCTTTCTCTTTTTTCTCTCGTTTCGTTCTTCTCTTTTTCTCCTTCTTCTTCTTCTTCTTCTTCTGCTTCGTCTGCTTCTACCTCTTCCTCTTCCTTTTTCTTTCTCCATCATTTTTACCTCTTTATTATTTCCTTCTCTTTCTTATTATTCCTTGTTTTATTATTATCTCTTTACATCATTCTTTTTCCTCTATGTATTTGTCGCTATTCCTTCTTGCTTTTTGCTATTTATCACGTTTTCCTTCTCTCCCTTCTGTCTCCGTTACTTACTTTGTCTCCTTCCTTTCCTTTTCCTTATCGCGTTTATTATTCATTCTGGAGAGTGAGAGATAGATAGATAGATAGATAGATAGATAGATAGATAGATAGATAGACAGGCAGATAGTTAGACAGACATAAAGACATACAAATAAATAGATAGATAGATAGACAGAGAGGCAGACAGTTAGACAGAAAGACAGATAGAGAGAGAGAGAGAAAGAGAGAGAGAGAAAGAGAGAGAGAGAGAGAGAGAGAGAGAGAGAGAGAGAGAGAGAGAGAGAGAGAGAAAGAGAGCGCCAGAGGGTGTAGTAGGGAGAGGACGAGGCACGCGAGGAGAGGCACTCCCAACAAGTATCACTGGGCTGCGAGAGAGAGAGAGAGAGAGAGAGAGAGAGAGAGAGAGAGAGAGAGAGAGAGAGAGAGAGAGAGAGAGAGAGAGAGAGAGAGAGAGGGTCCCACATGGTTGGCGCAAGGGGAAAGCTCTCGCCCGAGAGAGAGGGGAAAGGGGAGAGGGATGGACGAAGAGGGAAGAGAGGGAAGGGGTGGGAGGGGGAGGAGAAGGAGGAGTAGGGAGGGGAGGGGAGGGTTAAGCAATCGATCACGTTGATTTATTGCACATCCGCGACGGTCCAGCGTGTTGTGTTGCTCTCTCTCTCTCTCTCTCTCTCTCTCTCTCTCTCTCTCTCTCTCTCTCTCTCTCTCTCTCTCCTCTCTCTCTCTCTCTCTCTTTCTCTTTCTCTTTTTCTCTCTCTCTTTCTTTCTTTCTTTCTTTCTTTCTTTCTTTCTCTCTCTTCTTCTCTCACCCACATTCTTATACCATACAGACATACAAACACACACGCGTGCACGCACGAACACACACACACACACACACACACACACACACACACACACACACACACACACACACACACACACACACACACACACACACACACACACATGCCTTCCTTTCTCTCTCTCTCTCTCTCTTCCTCCCTCCCTTCCCTCCCTCCCTCCCTCCCTCCCTTCCTTCCCCTCTCCCTTCCTTTCCTTCTTTCCTTCATCCCTTCCTTTTCTCCCTCTCCCTCTCTCCCTCCGCCCCTTCACCCAGTGCCTCTTTCCCTGGAACACTATATCTGTCCTTTGTGCGTCGAGGGCAGTGCCAGGTAAAGGGAGAGAGAGAGAGAGGGGGGGGGGAAGGAGAGAGTGCCAGTGTATAGCGATGGATGGATACAAGTTGGCATTTGCTGTGTCGACGATGCTCGCTCTCTCTCTTTCTTTCTCTCTCTCTCTCTCTCTCTCTCTCTCTCTCTCTCTCTCTCTCTCTCTCTCTCTCTCTCTCTCTCTCTCTCTTTCTTTTTCGGGGATGTTTCTGTTTTATTTTTATTTATTTCTTGTTTGTTTCTTTTCGTGTTTGTTTTTGTGTGATTGTAATTGTAATTATGTTTATGAGGTTAATGTACGTACTAGAGAGATTAATAAAGACTGTATCTAGAGAGAGAGAGTGTGAATGAGTGAGTGAGAGAGAGAGAGAGAGAGAGAGAGAGAGAGAGAGAGAGAGAGAGAGAGAGAGAGAGAGAGAGAGAGAGATGAAGAGAGAAAGAGAGAGAGAGGAACCAAGTGAACTTCGGCGTGCGTCGTGCCGGGCAGCGCAGCCGCGGTTCATTTCGTTCAGTCAAAACCCTTCATCTCCTACTCCTCTCCTGAAGGAGGTCGGATATTGCTTTTGATTAAGTCAGATGGCTGTGTGGCTTTCTGACGCTCGGCCGCGATGCTTTTGACCGGCGTTAACTCTTTTTCTTGTTTCGTCGCAGGAGTCGCCGATGGAGCTGAGCTTCCAGGTGGTGGCGACCCGCAAGGTGAAGAAGCGGAAGCCGCAGGCGGCCGCGCTCGCCGCCCAGGAGGAGGCGCAGGAGGCGGCGGCGGCGGGCGGCGACGAGGCGTTCCCCGCCGAGGAATGCCCGGAGCCCCCCGAGAAGATCTCCCGCCTGGAGAGCGCGGAGGACGCCTCGACGGCGCTGCCGCCCGAGGACCAGCCGTCGCTGCACACGCGGCCGCCCACGCCGCCCGAGACCCCCGAGGGCGGCCGCGGCCAGGAGGGCGACCACTACCAGCTCGAGGACCAGCCCGTCCACACCCACCTCGGCCTCCACCACGAGGACGTGGATGAGGGCGGAGGCGTCGTGGCCGAGGGCGAGGCGGGCGGAGGCGGAGGCGCCGAGGAGGACGAGGGAGGAGAGCCAGGCGAAGGGGGGGAAAGGGCGGGCGAGGAGGCGGGCGAGGAGATGGAGGAGGAGAGCCACGAGGGCCACGAGGGCCACGAGGAGGCGCAGGAGGAGGCGCCGGGCGGAGGGGCGCAGGAGGAGGCGCAGGAGGAGGTACCTGAAGAGGAAGAGGAGGCCGGCGAGAAGGCGGCGGAGGAGGAGAATCCCGAGGAGGCGCCGGAGGAGCCGGCGGAGGAGGCGCCGGAGGAGACCCACGAGGAGAGTCACGAGCAGATGGACGCGTCGGAGGACCTGGACGCGTCGAAGGAGTCGAACGACCTGGTGGTCGACCACGACTCAGAGACGCCGCTCGAGGTAGACACGAGCCACGAGACGGAGCCCGAGGGCGACGGCGACGCGGACGGCGACGCGGACGGCGCGGCGGAGGGCGACGGGGGGCGGCTGGGCGGCGCGCCGGCGGCCAAGGACTGCGGCGACGACGAGCAGGAGGACAGCGCCATTGACGTGACGGAGACGAGCGCCAGCGAGCCGCCGGACAGCGACGACAAGGACACGGACCTGAACGTGAGCACGGAGTCGGCCGAGGCGGACGCGGAGGCGCCGTGCGAGGCCGGATCGGCGTCCAAGCTCGTGCAGACGGACGAGACGCCCATCAACCTCACCCGCAAGCTGAAGGGCGAGCGCAAGCTCAGGAAGGACTGCTACGTCTTCACCGACAACGAGGACGACGACGAAGAGGCCGACCTGGAGGAGGAGCGGGACGAGGTGGGCGCCCTCGACCTGTCGCGCCACGCCCGCACGGTCAGGGAGGCGCGGGCGCAGCGCGAGAGCCTGGAGTCGCCGCCGTCGGGGGGCAAGGCGGGCCGGACGGCGCGCGGCCAGGGCACGCAGACCATCCTGTCCATCACGCAGAGCAACAAGTCCAAGAAGTTGAAGCAGAGCCCCGCGTGCACCGCGTCGCCCACGTCGACGGCGCAGGCGGCCGCCACCGCCGCACAGATCAGCCGGCCCGCGCTGCCCATCGACTGGGCGCACCCGCCCATCGTGCCCGGCCCCGTCACGCCGCACGCCGTGGCCTTCAGCGACCTCATGACGCTGTCACACGCGGCGGTGCAGCTGCAGCTGGCCATGGCCCACGCCCAGGCGCAGGCCCAGGCTCAGGCGCAGGCGCAGGCACAGGCACAGGCGCAGGCGCAGGCCGAGGCGCAGGCCCGAGCGCAGGAGCAGGTGCTGAAGAGCCTGAAGGTGAGCGAGTCCCTGAGCTTCGTGAACGGGTCGGGCGACACGCTGACCATCAGCCCCATCACGACGGCGCTGCAGGACAAGCCGTCCAAGAACACGGCCACGAAGGCCACGAGCAAGATGCACCACCACGCGGCCAAGGCCAGCGTGAACGGCGGCTCGCACGTGTCGCACTCGCGCAGCTCGAGCACCAAGTCGCACGGCAGCCACAAGTCGGCGGGCAGCATCATCAGCAGCAAGGCCAGCGGCAGCAGCCACGGCAGCCTGCGCACGACCATCCACAAGTCGGCGCTGACGGCGTCCCTCAAGATCCCCTCCGTGTCCGTGAGCAAGACGAACGGCGCCGCCTCCTCCAGCGGCGGCGGCAAGGGCGACAAGGACTACCCCGAGCGGACGGGCGACCCCGTCTTCAAGATCACCAACCAGAAGCTGGCGGAGTTCGTTCGGCGGCAGCACCTGCAGCAGAAGCTCAAGCAGAGCGGCAACAACCTCAAGTCGAACGCGAGCGCGACGAGCACCACCTCCACAACCACCACCACCTCCTCCTCCTCCAACCCCACCTCCTCGGCCTCGAGCTACATGAACAGCGTCAGTTCCACGGGCTCCCCCGCGTCCTCCTCGAACTCCACCATCACCAAGAGCTCGTCCTCGCTCCTGGGCTCCGCGTACAAGACGAGCTCGGCCTCCAACCCCGCGTCGGGCGCGCCGTCCCTCGGCGGCGTGGCCTCGACGCCCAAGTCGTGCTCGTCCTCGCAGAGCATCCGCGCCACCAACACCAGCGTGCGCCAGATCCCCAACCCGTCGCTGCTGCGCCAGCAGTCCGAGTCGCGCATCACCGGCGGCCTCTCGGGCCTCGGCATGGCCTCCAGAAAGTCCTCGGAGTCCATCAGCAGAATCGAGAGCCTCACGAGATCCCTGCACGAGAAGATGGCCGCCAGCTCGCTGGCCGCCTCGTCCCTCGCGGCCACCATAAATTCCGCGGTCAAGTAGGCCCCCCTCGACCGCCCCGGGGCGCGGCCGGCCGGCAGACAGTGCAAGTAAATTCCAGGCGAAGCCGACGGCTTTTGCTTCTGTTTTCCTCCGGGTCATCGCGACGGCCTCGTTTCAGTGGATGTCTACTCGCATCGCCGAAATGTCGTGGCTACAGGAAAAAGAGGACTGGAAGTGATATACATATTTTCTATATCTGTAGCTACTGATTTAAACAATGCAAAAAAGAAATATATATATATATAGCATTAGTAAAGAAAATCTGAAGTTTCAGTCGTATGTGTGTGAAATAGTGACGAGAAGTATATGAAAGCAGTTGTAAAGCAAATCATTATTCGAGCATTGAGTGTCGAGTGTACAAAGATGAAGATATACCGCTTTATGAGTGAATGGAGAGTGACATTCAGACAAGAACAAACATATGAAAGAGAAGTGACATCGTTTTGAGGATCTCTCAACATACACACACATACGCACGCACACACACGCACGTGCATACACTCACACACACACACCGAATCTCGAGTGCCCAAAAGTGCCACTGGCGGTTAATACACTCTTGAGTGCCACGCTCGGTGCCCTCCAGTGCCCTTTGTGAATTGACTCTTCCCTTCCCTTCTCTCTTCTTGCCTTCAACCAACCACAGGAACTCGGCTTGTACAAATATGGAAAAAAACAAATGAAAGGTTCGAGGTGACAAAGAACAAAAACAAAACGGAGGAATACGAGAAGAGAGACAGAGAGAAGACACAAGGAGAGAAACGAAAAGTGTGCGTGCGTGCGGGCTCGCGTTGGAAGCCGAACGAAGGAGGGCGGAGAAGCAGAGCACGTTTTGTCCACAGTTCTGCGCATCAAAAGGCGTCTCGTTACGGTGACTTGTGTGTGAAAAAAGAAGAAGAAAAATAGAAAGAAAACGAGAGACCGAGGAGGAGGTGTGTCGCCTTGGGTCAGTTCTCAGTCCCATTCGAAGGCGTTGCGGCGTCTGGAGGGAGAGGAAGGGGGGGGCGAGGAGGGGGAGGGAGGGAAGGAAAGGAGGCAGGGAAGGTGGCAGTGAAAGCGAGGCTTGAAAACCAGTGACAAAGTGAAAACGAAAACGAATCTTCGAGGCGAATGAAGGTTCAGTCGAACGAGTGAATTCGAGGAAAAGAACCACACATTTGGGGCGAGGAAAATGGACCTTTTCTTTCCCCTTTCGCCGCCAAATACAAATAGAGGATTCCTCTTACAGAGGATAAAGACAGACCTCGACTTAAAAGTGCTATATAGGTAGATAATTTTTCTAGAAAAAAAAGAAAACACTTCAGAAGGCTCTCCGAAAGGGAAGCAAAGAACCTGCGTCTTGCCTCATACATGCGCCTCCCCACCCCCCTATCCCTCCTCCTCCTCCTCCTCCCCCTACCTCGTTACCCCCCCCCCCCTCCCCTTCTTCAGTGCTTAACGGGAGCGAGACATTTTTCGCATTCTTCAATGAGGATAATTCTTAATACGTGAAACTTTTACGAAAGAGAGAAATAAATCATTAAGAAGAAGAAGAAGAAGAAGAAGAAGAAACCGGAAAACTAGAAGTAGTGGAAAACTTTGATCCACAGAACAAAATGGTGATATAGAGATTAGATATTTAGTCACATAAGAACTATTTGATTTGTTTCTTTCTCTTTTTTTTTTTTTTTTGTTTTTTGTTTTATAAACCCAACTGTTTAATTCAATTCTATCTTTCTGATTTGGCTTTAATTTGGATTAGCTTCAAGCGGCAACCTCGTCGTTTTCCTGGATGAGCAAAACGAGTCGATTTGCGATACGTAAATAAATAAAAGGTTTTTTTTTATTTATAGTGATGATAAATAAGGGTGATTCTCGCTTGCTCCTCCGACGTTTCCTGATCGACAACGAAAACGGAAACAAGTAAACAAACAAGGAAAAATGAGAAGAAATCATTGGCATTAATTTATCATCACTCTTACTGTATTAGTTATGTATATTATATATATAAATATATATATATATTATTGTAGTTGGCCTATTTGTTGGTATTATTATTATTTTTTTTAGTGAATTGATGACGATGACGATGATGATGATGGTGATGATAATGATGCTTAATTCAAACAACTTCTCCATTTTATATTTCCCATTTTTCGTAGGCCTAAATAGGCTTACGACGGGACTACCAAAGAACTACAATAAAGAAGAAATAAAAAAAAAAATAGAAAAAAAAAATTCTTTCGAGTAATTGTTTGTAAAATGTGTACATAAAACTATAGCATTATCATAGGTAGTTTAAGTAGGTCTCTATTGAAAAGTTCTATGTCATATGTAACCAGGTTCTTCTCCACCATGCTGGACCCTCTCGTCTCTTGCCTGTCCTCTTCCTCTGTTTATTCCTCTCTCCTCTCCTTCTTCCATCTTTCATTTCTCTCTTCTTTCCTCTTCTTTAATCTTCTTTCCTATATTCGTCTCGTCTAGTGTCTTTTATTCCTTTCTATATCATTCTCTTCTTTTCTTTTATCTTTCTTTCTCTCTCTCTCTCTCTCTCTCTCTCTCTCTCTCTCTCTCTCTCTCTCTCTCTCTCTCTCTCTCTCTCTCTCTCTCTCTCTCTCTCTCTCTCTCTCTCTCCATCCCTTATCAAGATTTCCATTCCCTCCTTCCTTCCTTCCTTCCTTCCCCCTTCCCCCCCTCCCTTCGTTAAGTTGTTGTTCCTTTTTCAATGTAATTAATTAAGATCTACTGTTTCATAACTTATCACTCAACACACATTGTTGTTGTATCCAATAGAAGTTCTTTATTATTATTTATGTAATTACCATCTGTGTGCCATGCGTGGGGTGGTGTGTAGCTGTGCGTGCGTGAGTCAAGGACGGCGAAAGGAGCGGAAGTGTACTTGGCGATGTCCGTTACGTACGTGCGACGCGTACTAGATTAAAAAAATGAAACGTACAGATATGATGCTTATAGATTTGCATTAACGTACATTTGTTGATATACATGCATAGATAAGAGCATACACGAAACATTAACACACATGGACATATAGTTAGAGACACGCATAACGTACATAGAAACACAATTGCACATATTAATTACACGTACACACAAACAATCACACTCACATCTACACTCACACTCACACACACACTCATGCTCATACTCACACACACACACATTCACACTCAATCTTACACTCACACACACTCACACCCGCCCAATCCTTCACCCAAATCTTAGAGTTTGGATAACATTGTCACGAGAACAGATGCTACCTCTGTAAGTGTTTCCCTCCCGACGTCTCCCGTCTCGCTGTCCCTCGCGCGGGGAATCAGAAGCCGTAGTGGTTGTTTGAGTGTTTGCTTGTGTTTCCCGTTCCTTCGTTGGGAGGAAATTGTAATTGTGTGTGTGTGTGTGTGTGTGTGTGTGTGTGTGTGTGTGTGTGTGTGTGTGTGTGTGTGTGTGTGTGTGTGTGTGTGTGTGTGAGAGAGAGAGAGAGAGAGAGAGAGAGAGAGAGAGAGAGACTGAGTGTGTGAATGAATGAATGATAGTTACAGAAATGCCTTGATCAGTTTGGAAATGTTGGTGGGTGGCGTGGAGAATGGAAAGAGAGAGAGAGAGAGAGAGAGAAGGAGAAGATAAAAACAAGAGAAAGAGGGGCAAGGTACCTTGGCCGGAACTGGGCGAGACATCCTCCCCCCCTCCCTCCCTCCCTTCCTCCCACCCACCTCTTCCTCCTCCCTTCCTCTCTCCCCCCTTTTTTTCTCTTTCCATCACTACCCCTCCAATCTCCCCCCCTCCCCTCCTCCTCCCCCCACGTCCAAATCCCTCCAAGTAAAGCCTCCTAAACCTTCTGTATCCGAAGGAGGAGCAAGAATTACCACGCCCACTTTCTTTCCTCCTTTCTACCTCTTCGACTCCACCCACCACCACGCCCCCCCCACTCCCCCACCCCCACTACCACTACATCATCCTCGACATACCCCCACCTCTTCCCCCTCCTACTCCTCTTCCTCCTCCACCTTCTCTTCCTCCTTCTCTTCCTCGTCCTCCTGTTCCTCCTTTTTCCTCTTCTTCCTCCTTCTCCCCCCTTCTCCCCCCTCCCCTCCCCCCCGCCAGTCGTGGGCATCCCAGTGTGTTGGTCTGATGTGTTCCGACGGTCAAATCTAATCAAAGGGTTACATACATGATAGATATAAATGTACAAATTATAGGGTACACTTGTCAGTTAGTGTGTGGAATGTATATCGATGTATTTACCCCTCTCCCCCCCCCTCCCCCCCCTCCCCTCCTCCGTGTCATCTTTTTTTCTTCGATTGTGTGGAGGGGAAGCAATTTAAAAAAAATAAACAGGCGATTGTATGTGTTTAAGCAAAACAAAGAACGGTGATTGTAACAGGAAAAAAAAAAGTTTTTTTTTCTGTTTTAGGAAATTTAGGTAAAGAAAAAAAGTTTAATTGTTATGTTTCATATGTTGCAAAGAAATGTGTATTTGTTTCGTTTCTATTCTTACTTCTCTCTTTGTTGTTTTTGTATTTTTCTTGTTTTCTCGTGATGCCAAAATCTTGTTTAAGAAATGTTGATTTATCAGTGGAAGAAAGCAGACAGCATCTGTCTTTATTATTTTATGGAACCTGTATGTAGGGAAAGGCAACGGGAAATAGTTATAGTTTGCAATGACTCCACGGTAGCGGTTTGCATGCAACAGTTTGCAACAGAGAATGTGCCGTTTTGTGTGTGTGTGTGTCGTTTCTCTAACCCTTGGCAACTCTGGAGTACAAAATGTGGAAAATTCATGTCGTGTGATTATGACCCGTGTGTATTATGCATGTACATTAAAACATCATTTTCTCTCTCTCTCTGGCTCTCTCTCCCTCTCTCTCTCTCCCTCTCCCTCTCTCTCTCTCTCTCCCTCTCTCTCTCCCTCTCTCTCCCTCTCCCTCTCCCTCTCCCTCTCCCTCCCTCTCTCTCTCTCTCTCTCCTCTCCCTCTCCTCTCCCTCTCTCTCTCTCTCTCTCTCTCTCTCTCTCTCTCTCTCTCTCTCTCTCTCTCTCTCTCTCTCTCTCTCTCTCTCTCTCTCTCTCTCTCTCTCTCTCTCTCATACTCTTCCTTCCTTTCTTCCTTCCTTCCTTTCTTTCACAGACCGCAAAACAGGGCATTATTTCTCAAG